AATGAAACATGTATAAACATACTCCATAAGTTATTTAACTTTTGTTTTCGAAGTGGTCAGATTCCTCATATTTGGAGAAAAGGTGTTATATCCCCTATTCCTAAAAATGGGGGCGGAAGTGACATTGACCCTTTATCTTACCGAGGCTTGTGGAAGCGAATCGTACAGGGTATCAGAAAACATTCATCACTTTTTACTGCCTCTTGCCTCAAAACATCCTGCCTATATCAAAGACACCAACGACTTTGTGGAAAAGGTAAAGAAACTCGTGATCCCAGAAAATGCCCTTTTAGTCTCTTTAGAAGTTCAAAGCATGTATACTAAAATTGACAATGATTCTGGATTACGCGCTGTAAAGCAGGCATTCGAGCGAAAGCCCGATCCTGATAGACCAGATAAAGAAATTCTTGAAAAGAAGGTTCTTGAGGGGTATTAAAAGCTTAACCGTTGCTGAAATCTCTGCTAAAAATAATTCGATTCTTTTACCAATACCAAATTCTTCAGTTTATCCTTGTAACAACCCTCGCTGTCTAACCTGTCCCTTCATTTTACCAACAAATTCTTTCCGAAATAGACGCACAGATTCCATATTTCAAGTAAATGAAAAACTCAACTGCAACAGCAAAAATATTATTTATCTCATTTCTTGCACAAAATGTGACGAACAATACGTTGGGGAGACAAAAAATTCGTTAAGGGTCCGTTTCAATCATCACAAGTCTGACATCAACTTAAAAAAAATTAATAAAACCGTTTCAAAACACTTCAATCAACCCGATCACCAATTAACAGACCTGAAAATTATTCCCATTGAACAGATATACGAACAACCTGGCATTGATACAAAGAAAATTCGACTCATTCGCGAAAATTATTGGATAAACAAATTACAAACCATGCATCCTTTGGGAATGAACATCCAAGTTGATTTCCAAATTATACCTTTTGTTATTCAATACAACAACACAGCTGGTCAAGTTCCCCGAATAATTATCCGTCTTTACAAAGAATTGCAGGAAAAAATTACAACAGTCTTTACAAATGATTTAGTTATCACCTATACCCGTAATAAAAATCTAAATGATATCTTAGTCCGTCGTAGATTACCCCCCATCCCCCTTCCATAGGTTTAGTACATTTCCTTTAATTAATATTTCTTATTTATGATAACTTGCAATTGAAGAGTTTCCTCGCAAAAATATCATACATGTATACTATTTTCACTTTTTTATATATATTTTTTATATGAAATACGCATTTTCCTTTTCATTTAATATAGGACAATTCCTCAGTTTCACCAGTGAAAATGTTTATCATGATTTCCATGGTTATTAATGTTCCTGTTGGAACCAGTATTCATCTTATATATTTCAGATTCGGAAGATAATGGATTTGCATTTCAAATATTCTATATCATTCTTTTAAACTAACTTCACAAACATTGCTCTATCACTAGAGGTTACGCCTACATGCCTGTGCCTGTGCTTTCGTAACATTGCTTAACCGCAATATTACAACCTTAAATTCCTACTGTCAGTCTCATGCAAACTTTATTCAGACATCCTGAATCAACGTCTAACGCGTTGGATGGAAGGTGAAAATGTTTTGGCCGAAAAGCAAAACGGTTTTTGAAAAGGAAGAAATTGTTGAGATAATATCTATATGTTAACTAATATCATTAAAAATCGGAAAATTGCAAAACAGGGCACATACAGCTGCTATTGGTATTCATGGAAGTTTCATTGATAGCATTTCAGCTTTATATCGTGATACATCTTGTTCGATCAAAATCAATAATCACAAAACGCCATGGTTCCCTGTTTCCTTGGGAGTGAAACAGGGTTGCACCTTGTCTCCTACCCTTTTTGCGATATACGTGAACGACCTTGTCACTAAAATCAACGATCTTAACTGCGGCATTCAAATTGATGGTAACATGATATCGGTGCTGTTGTACGCTGACGATATCGTAATAGTATCCCCTACGTCTGAAGGTTTACGTAAACAAATTAGATATCATCCATGGCTGGTGTAAAACTTGGAGACTTTGTGTTAATCAAAATAAATCGAAAATCATTCATTTTAGAAACCAAACTACCCCTAAAAGTGAAATAGTTTTCAAATGTGGAGACTTAGATTTAGAGGTAAGTAGCTCTTATAAATATCTTGGTGTATGGTTAAATGAGTTTTTAGATTTCTCCTTTTGTGCCAAACAACTAGCTTTGTCTGCCAATAGGGCTTTAAGTGCGGTTATTACAAAATTCAATAATGCTGGTCGTTTTAGCTATGCCGTATACTGTAAATTGTATGATTGTCTTGTTAAACTCGTTTTTACGTATGGGGCAGGAATATGGGGCATTAACAAACACCAGTGCATCAATACTTTACACCAGAAAGCCTGCAAGTTTTTCTTGGGTGTACCCAAGCGCACTTCAAATCTAGCAACAAGGGGTGATATGGGATGGCTTTGCAGTGACGCTATTCTCAAAGTAGAAGTTTTTAGGCTCTGGAATAGAATACAGCATAGTCCGAATCCCCTATCCAAATCTGTGTATAACTGGTCACTGAGGAGGAGGTCCTCTTGGGATAGTAGAGTTTTGAAACTTGGTAATTATCTTAATGTAATTAATGATAACAATTGTGTCAATATTAACTCGTTATGGGAAATATTGTGGGTCAATGACCATTCTGACTGGAAAAGGCAACTTTGGGATGATAAAAATCTAGTCAATTGTAACAAGTTATGTACCTATAGACACTTTAAATATTCTATTCATACAGAACCTTATGTCACAAATTCTGTGCATAAATGTACCCGTAAGGTTATGGCGGCATTTCGCTGCGGTAGTCTCCCCTTAGCAATTGAAACCGGTAGATTCGGCAATCCATCCACCCCCCTGAAAGAGAGACTGTGCACTATGTGTCAACTAAGAAAGGTTGAAGATGAACAGCATTTTCTTTTAACATGTCCATTTTATGATGACCTTAGGTATGACCTTTTTGCTAGAGCCAACGTTTTAAACCCAGCTTTTAATTACTTAACAGATGTAGAACAGCTTAATTTTTTAATGTGTAACAAAAATATTATTTTTCATTCCTCAGCATTCCTCCGAAACGCCTTTAATAGACTAAAGCGTTTTATCATTACCTGATCCATTTATGTCTTATTTTTTTTCTGCAGTCTCGGTCCCAATATTTTACCCTAGTTTAACTTGTACATGTTTCTTTTAAATTAGTTTTACATATTAATATTCATATGTTTATATGTTTATATGTTTATATATTTATATATCAGATATTTATGTTTTGTTGATATGATTTTTACTCATTAGAATTGAATTAGACCAGTGTCTCATAAGCCAACCTGGCTGTGTAGCGTTACTTTTATCTTGTTATATTTGTATATTTATATGTTCTATGCTGTGTGACACAAACATAATAAATTATTATTATTATGCATTAAAGGAATATATTGCTGAAACAAGCAATAACGTAATTGATTTATTCACTTCCGGTTTTGACGCTTTTCGCTTCTAAAATATAAAACTATTCTTTTCAAAATATGTTACAAATGGTAATACAAAAAACTTCAAATCATAAAATCCCACCCAGATGTAACAGAGTAGCTGCCATATTAATATGTCATACTGTTGTAAAATTCAAAATGGGGTCTCGGGGTATAGAGCGCTTTCATAATTTGGATATCACAATCGATTGCGAAAAGAAATTTGGAAGCCGATTTTTGAATCTCGATTTTGCTTTTCTTTTATTTCCGGTTAAAATTTTTCAGTATTGACCAAAACTTCAAAGGCTCCTATTTCTTGACCTTGACCTTTGGTGACCTTGAGACCTGAACAAAATGTGTTGCTCTTGATGATATCTATCCAGTGATATACTCATATTTGCTGTCCAATGCTTACTTCCGGTTTTATAGCTGATTGAAAATTACGATTTTTATCTTTAAAGAGCTCTGTCACGTGTCCTAATTTACATACACCAAAAATTCTTATTAAATCTTTCTAGTCTTCATATGTCCTTTGTAATGATATATAACATTAGATATTTCAATCACAACTGCGGTTTTTTAATAGTTGAAAATTTTGTATTTTCTTCTATAGTAACTGTGCGTGTTTTCTTTAAATCGAAATGGGGCCTCAGGGTGTAATCCAATTTGTGTAAATTTGATGTCTATGGTATCTAATATCGATTGTCAAATGATATTTGAGAACGATTTTTGAATTTTATTTATTTCCGGTTGAAAAATATGAAAACTTTGAAGGGTCGTATATTGTGACCTTGACCTTTGGTGACCATATGACCAGAACAAATTTGATAGCTCTCGACGAGATCTATCCAATGGTATATTAAGGTTTATTGTTCGGTGTTTACTTTCGATTTTATGGCCATTTGAAATAGATGAATTTCATCTTGGAAAGAGCCGAAGTCCCTTTTGTAAGCCTGCTGTGGTCTAAACAATAAAAGTTATTTGTCGGAGTTTGCTCCTTTCAACTGTTGTTGAAAACAGTAGATTAATATTTATATAATGTCAGTTGAAGCGATCTGTCGAATATGCTTTGCGTTTGGGCGATCTAGAGAACAAGACGCGAGTTTCAGCGATCTGTTGAACATGGTTTGAGATTAAACGACCTATGCTATATCCAGTTAATTATGATCGGAAACTATGTTACTGTTATGATACTTTGTGGTACAGTTTTAAGCGTGAAACCAAAACTGGTATCCGAATAAAGTCATAAATATTGTAAGTTGTGATGTATACAGGACCATTCTGTTGTAAGTGATGTTAGTTTGGTTGACGATAAGTAAAACCTTTTCTGGAATCTTGCCATTGGTAGTTGTAGTTGAAGTGCTTGTGGAGCATAATGAAAAATGTCAGATTAGTGTGAGAATGTAAAGGGGTTAAGAAATGTATTTCCGTTCCTGCATTCCGTTCAACTAGTTTTTAAAACTATATATGATATCACAAAATATAACGTCAACAACATTTTTTTATCTATTTTATTTCAATCATAAAAGTCAGTTATATATTTTTTAGTTTTTTTTATCTGACATCAGGAGCTTCTTCACTTCTACAAAAATAAAAACATTTTTTAATTATCATATTAGACTCAGCCCGTTCAGGTGGAAATAAACGAGGTGCAGTGTAATGGTGTGAGATTATCGATACAGTAGAAAATAGTAGAAACGAATTGTGTCTGGAACCGTACCTCGTGTATTCACTTCTTTTATCTTCTTCTGTATCGATTTACATCGTACTATTCGCGACTTAAGATTGATAGTCCATGTGTTAATTGTTTTTATAAATCATACAACGATCGATCAACTTGAACAGGTGAATTTGTCAAGTATCACTAAAATATCAATTGAGTTTTGTATCTCCAGACATACAACAAAAGATGGTTGTCGAATATTCAAAAAATCAGATCTAAACTAGAAGTTTTTAAACTTGGTTAGAATAAGTCTTTGTTCGTCTATGTACTTACCTGGTGTCATAACTATTAAAAATATTCCCTCTATAATCAAATAAATATACAAAAACTAAGTAATAATCAATTAAACTGAGTAATTTAGTAACATTCTTAGAAGCATGTTTCAATAACCATTTAGTTAGAGATTCTATTATTTTGTCAAGGCGCCTGGTAATTGCAACTGATTAATATATACACTTGTTGTCCAAGCTTTAGACTTTTGATTTAATGTACTATTATATATTTTACTTACAAGACTAGTTACAACATACATCATCTCCATCACAATAAGAATCGACTTGGATGTAGTCTGGACCACATTCACTTCTGCATTCTTGGTAGTTAATATTTTCACATCGTGCTTCCCCTAAAATATAGGGAGTAATATTGAAGTTATTTCATACGCGGGGTAATTTAAATACTGAATGAATACTGATGAAGACGAACGCACCAACGCAATGTTTAATACATTTGGCATGGATATCATTAACGTGCACAGCTCTCGAACCTCCTTTATACCATCCAAAAATCTTTTCCACCTAAACCGATTAAAAAATCGAAAAATATTTTCTTGACTATGATTATTAGCGTGTCTTGCAGTCAATTAAAATCTAATTATCATTTCGTTCCATGTATATACTCTTTCCAAATTTGAAACTTTAACCCTTGAAGCAACTTTGCCAGATTGATAAAACTCTTTACAATGTTTCTAATAATAAAACTTGCTTGCATAATGCCCCTGTTAGTGTAGAAAATGATTAACGAGACTATTAAGACATAGTTTGTCACTGTCAGCCTAATTTCCGCTAAAGCCATCTGTTCGTTAGTAGTCACTTACGCCCAACGAAATTTTACCTGTCTAGACAAGGATAAAGTCAGGCAGTGTTTATTGAAATTTCTGTAACGACGCATTCAGGGAGATAACTATAATAAATCAAATTCGGCCTTTAAGTTTGAAACGACTTGCCTATTTAATTTTACCCATCACCAAAAATCGGGTGTGGATTTACAACCAATTAGATTCAATAGCCACAGTAGTATCGGTCAATTGAAAAGATATTAAGCAGCCTGCCCAGATACTCTTTCCTCGAAGTAGTACGTAGACAAAGATAATTTAACATTGTTTCTACGTATGCCCTCTAAAAAAAAAACCCTGGAAATTAATTAAACGAATAATGTAACTATGACAGAAATGAGGCCAATTGATTGGAAATTGCAGTACAATATTCTATATTCAATATTCTAGAAAACGTAACCCAAGATGATATAAATGTTTCAATCGATTATTGCATTTCTTAAAATCTGTATTTTATTCATACGATTTGAATTTTCTTATGTTTCAACTGTTTAATTCGGAAATTTCTGTAAAAGAACTTTATTTATTGTACTCACCACAAGAATTACCACCAAATGATTCTGTACAATTACATGATCCATCAGACAGTAGTGTTCCATTATTTTGACAAGGATTCGCTCTTCCTAAAACAACAAGGTTGAAACTTTTTTTTTTAAACATGTTATTGTTTAATATTATCTGTATATTATCTGTATATAGCTTCAATGTCACCACACCCATCTAGTGTCCTGGTCTGTGACCTGACATTAACCTCAAAATTGTTAAAAGATCATACATAGGAATTTCAAATCCAGCTAGAATCACACAGTTTTTAAAGAAACTGATTATCTGTATCAATTTACAGCTGGTTCAACTGGAATAAGGGGGAAATATAACAAATCTCTTCATAAACTCTGAAGTTTTAAAATATTTCTCCTGGTTCCTACTGTATACCTAAAAACTGAGAATGTGATTCCGATGCTGATTGTCCTGGTGGTGAAGATGAACATGAAGATTGCAGTCAGTATCTTGTATTTTTCTTTGGACATTAAAAGATGTTGACCAATAGGATAAATCTTCTTAGCCCTGATATTGCTGATAGTCATGAGTTCAATCCCAGTCGATATAATACCTTCAGATTTTCAACCTGGTTTCCCCTTGTCAATTGCAACTGACATGGATAAAGCACCTAGTCGATCGGATGGGACAATAGAGTGAGGCCATGTTGCACACTTTTAATGAAGAAACAAAACTTGTGGCTCAGTCAGTCTATTTAAATAAGATACTTTCGTTACAGATTTTAAGTAGTTTTATTATTACTCAACCACTTACGTTGAGTAAAAAATGAAAGCCAATTAAAATACGGCACGAAAGCTTTTATGCTTAATTAGAGTACAAAATACAAGCCAATAAAATACGGAACGAAAGTTTTGTCATATTTTTATGTGCGTCTGTCCATCGATTGCTCGTAAACCTCTAGAAGGCGCATTTCTTGGCGAATGTGAATGAAACTTGGTTTTAGCGTTTGTTAGCACGGGAATTATTTAGTTGAACTACCAACAATAGTATTCACGGGTCACAGTAGAATACTTAAGCCTTCAAATACATTTATATCCAGAATTATCTGCGTTTAAAAGTTAAAATGACGGAAATGAGGCCAATTGATCGTGAAAACACGGAACGAAATTTTTTCAGAGTTTTATTAGATTGAGCTATATTATACCCAAGTTTTCAGTATTATGTCAGCATTTTTGCTGTAAATTATAAATGATAAAATGCCAGAAAATATTGTCATTTAACAAAACAATGCAGGACTCAATGGCAGCGCAATTATACTCCACTTTTTTGTGACAAAATATGTGTCAGAATGTACCAAATCAATTTAATTTTTGCGAAATTGTTTTTGACTCTCAGACGCACAATGAGATTCTTGCGATAATGACATCTCCACATTTTTATACTCCCAAATGGCATGAGGAAGTTCAGGGAGGGGCGTATATGTGCGTCTGTCTGTCCATCATTTCTTAAAATCCGGGTTTTATTTCAGTTCGTCATTAGATTTGATTTAATCGTGTTTCATCAGTTTTATTCAGAAATTTCTGTAAAGGGAACTTTATCAACTGTACTAACCTTCACAAAGAGTACCAATAAATTCCACTGTACAATTACATGATCCATCAGGCAGTAGTGTTCCATTATTTTGACAAGGATTCACTCTTTCTAAAACAACAAGGTATAAACATTTAATGAAGAAACAAAACTGAGGCCTCAAAATCTCAGCCAGTCTAATAAAATCATAAACTTTCGTTGTGGATTTTTAGTAGTTTTAGTTTTACTCAACCACTTTAGTAAACAATAAAAGCCAATGAAAACACGGAACGAAAATTTTGTCAAAGTTTTATTAGATTGAACTATATTATACCCAAGTTTTCAGCAATATGTCTGCATTTTTGCTGTAAATTATAAATGATAAAATGCCAGAAAAATATTGTCATTTAACAAAACAATGCAGGACTCAATGGCAGCGCAATTATATTCCACTTTTTTTTTTGACAAATCTAAAATTATGAATTTTATAGGATTTTGCATCAAAATATGTGTCAGAATGTACCAAATCAATTTAATTTTTGCGAAATTGTTTTTGACTCTCAGACGCACAATGAGATTCTTGCGACTATGACATCTCCACATTTTTATACTCCCAAATGGCATGAGGAAGTTCAGGGAGGGGCGTATATGTGCGTCTGTCTGTCCATTGCTCGTAAACACTCTAAGAAGTATCCCTGTCAATTATTGCATTTCTTAAAATCCGGGTTTTATTTTAGTTCGTCATTAGATTTGATTTAATCGTGTTTCAACAGTTTAATTCAGAAATTTCTGTAAAGGGAACTTTATCAACTGTACTAACCTTCACAAAGAGTACCAGTAAAATCCACTGTACAATTACATGATCCATCAGACAGTAGTGTTCCATTATTTTGACAAGGATTCACTCTTTCTAAAACAACAAGGTATAAACATTTAATGAAGAAACAAAACTGAGGCCTCCAAATCTCAGCCAGTCTAATAAAATCATGAACTTTCGTTGTGGATTTTTAATAGTTTTAGTTTTACTCAACCACTAAAGTAGAGTAAACAATAAAAGCTAATACGAAAATTTTGTCAAATGTTTATTAGATTGAACTATATTATACCCAAGTTTTCAGCATTATGTCAGCATTTTTGCTGTAAATTATAGATGATAAAATGCCAGAAAAGTATTGTCATCTATCAAAACAATACAAGACTCAATGGCAGCGCAATTGTATTCCACTTATTTTTAACAAATCTAAAATTATGAGTTTTATAGGTTTTTGCCTCAAAATATGAGTCAGAATGTACCAATTCATCACCACGGACGCCATAGATGTCAACGTTAACAACTTCGTAGCAACGATACATTACTACCACAGTATCTAACTACAAAATACATTGGCGTATATTTATTGTGTTTACATCAAAATGTTTGTGGATACTTGCTTATGGAGAATGATCATTGGTACCTATGTTCATAAAAAGGCGCCATCGAAAGTTAAAACAGGAAGTCTGAGAACAGGTAGTTTGACTTTATCTATGATTTTTATTGTGTCGATGCTAATTGCATTATCTGGTGATGTTGAGACAAATCCAGGTCTGACAAATACATGCCGAGGGCAGCTTACGAGTGCGGGAGGTACTTTAGGAACAGAGACCCAAGAAACAAACGCACTAACACAGGTCTTACAGTCTCTACGGACAGAAATTGCAGACATGAGGGAGTATCTACGAGATTTAAAAACAGAAGTGAAAGACTTGAATATTAAAGAGGAAGTTACATTGATTAAGGGTGATATTAAAGACTTGAAGTTAGAAAATGAGAAATTCAAAATTATGTTAGATAATAACGAAAACAGAGGTAGACAAAAGAATATAATTTTTTAAGGGATTAACGAAAATCAAAGTCAAACGGAAGACTGTGAACTGTCTGTAAGAAATGTGCTCACCACACTTTCAATAGCCGGATGATTCGTTGATCGGTATAGATCGGGTTCACCGACTCGGAACTCGTAAACCGAACGCATCTCGACCACGTCCGATTATAGTCGTGTTCAGCAGATTAAAGGACAAAGAAATGATCATTAAAACCACCAGAGATCAACTCATACTAACTGAATCCCCAGTAAGTGTGTCAGACGACTTCACTCAACGAGTCCGAAAAGCGTTAATACCACATTTGATTGATGCTAAGTCAAAAGACAAACGATCATTTTTAAGCTAGTAATAGAAAAACAATTGTTCGATATCAACATGGAAACTAACGAAATTATCCCAATAACAATTGCGAAATAGCAAATAAATACTAAAGATAACTTAGAATCTTTACACAATACAAACATTCCCAAAACTAATTTAATAAACACTGATTCCCTATCGATACTTTCATGGAATTGTCAGAGTTTACGTAGGCATCTCCATCTTGAACTCCAACGACAGTTGTCGATCTTTGACATTGTTGGCCTGAGTGAAACGTGGGTCTACAAAGAAAGTAATGACGTAGCAAATTTTATGACTACACACCAGAACTACATGTCTTGTAATTGTGTATGTTTCCCTGACATTAACGAATGGTGTAAATAGGATATTAAATGATGTACCAGATATGGTAATACTCACTTTGGATAAACTATATTTTGGCTGATGAGAAATCTGATAGTGATTTTCTTTTACGTTTCACCAGAAAATTCAAATTATTATCGCGAAACTGAATTAACAACGTTAGACTCGGTTGAGGAGGTCCTGTTGTTATGTCAATCTGAACATCCCCAATATGATATATTACTAGCTGGTGACCTCAACAGTCGCACGGGAGTTCTTGATGACTTTATTTCAGATGATAACACTGATTTCCTTGCGGATGTCGACGAAATTCACGAAAATGACTATTTCAACATGCCGAGAAACAATTCAGATAAGAATGACAATAATTTGTTCGCCATTTTATACATATTTGTAAATCCTTTGGTATTCACATTCTAAATGGAAGGTTCGAGAGTGACAAGGATGGCCATTTCACCTGTTCTGCAAACATTGGTCAAAGTGTAGTAGACTATATGGCAATAACAAGTAACGCATTTCCACTGGTAAAATCGTTCAATGTCTTGGATATTGACGATTCCTATCATTTTCCAATAACATGTCAATTAGTGATAAACTCGCAAGCTCAAGAAGTCAATGATCTTGACGAAAGTCGCCTAGTTAACAGGATATCCTATGGGTGGAAACCGGAGTTCAAAGACGAATGCCTCAAGCTACTAACAGATGATTATTCACAATCTCAGCTTATTAAAATATTAACGCATCAAAGTAGGGACACTAATCAAATAGTCCAAGAATTCAATGAAATCGTCGGGCGAGGAGCACAATCCATGTTTATAGGAAATAAACCGATTGCGAACTGAAACGATGGACAGTGTTGCCAATCCAAATGGTGGACCAAAGAATGTGAAGAACTCATAAACATCAAACACACTCTACTAAATCAATACAGAAAAACATTACTCCAGACTGATTTGGGTGAGTACAAAGCGGCGAGGAATAGGTTCAAACGATTATGTGACTCACGGAAATTCAAATATCGTATCGAGTTAGAGCAAAGTCTAAAATTAAATTTGAACATTCCCAAGATATTTTGGCAAAATGTCACTTTTAAAGAGAAAACCTAACGATTGGTTAAGCTATTTTAGTCGTCTTTATAGCTGCGATACAGATAATTCCATACAAAGTGTCTCTAAAAGTGTAAGTGTGAACGACCAGATTTGGCAAGATTGCGAAATTACTTTGCCAACGAACTTAACTCGTTTATAACGGAAGATGAAATCAGGGAAACAGTTTCATCTATGAAAAACGGGAAGGCGGCAGGGAACGATGGATTCGCATTGAACTTATCAAAGAGTCGCAATTTGTAATGATTCCAATTCCTAGTAAACTTTTTAATGTCATATTTGAAAGTGGTACGTATCCTACAGAATGGGGCAAAGCTATTATATGTCCAATCCACAAAGCCGGAAGTCCTATGTTAACAGATAATTACCGAGGAATATCGCTGTTGTCTGTGATAAGTAAGATTTTTACGAAAATCTTAAACAATCGACTCAATAACTGGTGTGAACTGAACAATTGTATTTGTGAAAACCAAGCTGGGTTCCGTCGTAATTACTCGACCATAGACAACATTTTCACACTACAAGGTCTCGTATATTTGTCTAAAAAGGGGAGTAGAGTGTACTGTCTCTCTATTGATTTCCATAAAGAATTTGATTCTGTCCAGCCTAAACACTTATGGTCTACCTTGATAAATAGCGGTGTCCATGGTAATTTTCTTAATACTCGAAATATGTATGATAAATGTAAGTCATGTGTTTGTACCAGTGGTGGACTAACAGATTTCTCTGATTGCAACGTAGGGCTGCATGCTGAGTCTTCTTCTGTTTTCCGTGTTCATAAATGAATACGTTCATGAGATGAATATATCTGAATGTAAAGGCATATATATATCAGAAAAGTTCCCTAACACGTGCTCACTATTATTTGCTGATGACATCGGTAATATTGCAGATACTGTATTCAACTTGCAACACCAAATTAACTGTGTCGATACCTTTTGTGCAAAGTACCGTATGAAGGTTAACAAACAAAAGACCAAAATTATATTTAGAAACGGTGGCCCCTTACGAAACTATGAAAATTGGTCGTATAGAGGTATAAACATTGAAACGATGTCTTCTTATAAATGTTTAGGGATAATGTTTACCCCCAAATTAATCTGGACAAAAAGTAAAGAGACCTTAGCTACCCAGTCTGAAAAGGTCCTGAATATATTAAAATGTGGTGGAATATCTATAGATGTTGGTTTAAATATGTTTGACAAGATGGTAGTACCAATTTTAACATATGGTGCGGAAATATGGGGTCACACTTATAGAACTATACTTGAAAATGTTCAGATCAAATTTCTCAAATTCATTTTGAAATTACCCAAATATTCATGTAATGCAGCTGTGTTGGGGGAATGTGGTAGATTACCATTGTGCACAATTTATTATGTAAAGTGTTTAAAATATTGGATCAAATTATCAACTATGGATGACTGTAGGCTGCCAAAAAATGTATATTGTATGTTATTTAATTTTGATTTAGCAGGGCGAAAAACCTGGCCAACAAATGTGAAAGCAATGTTATTTAACTTCGGGCTAGGTCATGCATGGATATCTCAGTCAGCGGGCAATTCCCAAATATTCTTATCACTCTAAACAAAGATTGTCAGACTGCTGTACACAGGAATGGCATATCCAAATTACGGAAAACTCACGACTATCTAGTTATTGCCAATATAAAACCTTATTACAACCTGAAAAGTATCTATATTCTGTATGTATATTTAAATATAAACGTGCACTATGTAAGATGAGATGTGGAGCAATTGGTCTAACGGCGACAGTCGGAAAATGGTTACTTATACCGATTGAAAACAGAACATGTAAATTATGTGTTAAGTGAGATTGAAGATGACTATCACTTTAAAGTTAGATGCACAAAATTCCACGATCTTAGATTGAAATATAAATACATGTACATATAATGAATACATTCGGTTAATCTCCAGTTGAAATCCTAGAGTGACTATGTAAATATATATATCACGCATGTATGATTAGAACTAAAAGCCCAAATGAAATGAAGTAAACTAAGTAAAATGTTATATGTAAAGAAAAAATTTTCATATTGTAAATATAGACCTGTCAATTACAATTAACTTAGATTCAATATTTATTTGTAGTCAATAAATATATTATGTATATAAAATATAGTCATATTGTAAATATATTATCGTCAATCAAAGTTAACTTAGATTTAAAATTCATTTGTATTCAATAAATGTATTAGGTATATAAAATATAACTAAATTGTAAATTTATACTAGCTTTACCACTATTACCTTAATTATAATATCGCACTTAAATCAACTATAAATTAACACCTAAATGTAAATGTACTATTATTATTATTAAAAAAAAATCAATTTAATTTTTGGGAAATTGTTTTTGACTCTCAGACGCACACTGAGATGCTTGCGACTATGACATCTCCACATTTTTATACTCCCAAATGGCACGAGGATGTTCAGGGAGGGGCGTATATGTGAGTCTGTCCGTCGATTGCTCGTAAACACTCTAAGAAGTATCCATGTAAATTGCCTTTCTTAAAATCCGGGTTTTATTATAGTTCGTCATTAGATTTGATTTAATTATGTTTCAACAGTTTAATTCAGATATTTCTGTAAAGGGAACTTTATCAACTGTACTAACCTTCACAAAGGGTACCAGTAAAATCCACTGTACAATTACATGATCCATCAGACAGTAGTGTTCCATTATTTTGACAAGGATTCACTCTTTCTAAAACAACAAGATTGAAACTTTTAATGATGAAACAAAACTTGGGGCTCCAAATCTCAGTCAGTTTTATGGGTTTTTGCCTCAAAATATGTGTCCGAATGTACCAAATCAATTTAATTTTTGCAAAATTGTTTTTGACTCTCAGACGCACAATGAGATGCTTGCGACTATGACATCTCCACATTTGTATACTCCCAAATGAAATGAGGAAGTGGGGAAGGAGGTGTGTATCTGCGGTGGACGGAAAGTCTGAGTCGCTTTTTCTTGAGACTTTATCATATGTAGAAAAGACATGTAAAGAAATAGGAAGTGAAATTCCCAGCTCTAGGTACTTTTGACATTGTTTTTACGTATGCCCTCTCGAGAAAAACAACTGGAAATTACTTTGACGAATAATGTAACTATGGGGGGATTGAGGCCAATTGATTGGACATTAAATACGATACTTAGTATTCCGGTCAATTAGTTAACTCTCTAAAATACATTTTTACAATTATGTACAAAATACAAGTCGATAAAAATACGGAACGAAAGTTTTGTCAAATTGTTATTAGATTGAACTATATTATATTTAAGTTTTCAGCATTATGTCAGCATTTTTGCTCTAAATTATAATGATAATAAAGGTAACAATGTGAGATTTATAGGTTTTTGCCCCAAAATATGTGTCAGAATGTACCAAATTAAAATCTAATTATCATTTCGTTCATGTTTATACTCCTTCCAAATTTGAATCTTTAACCCTTGAAACAACTTTGCTTGAGATTAACATAAGTATTTTCAGTGAATTGTATTTCATCATCTATACTGACCTTCACAAGTAGAACCAGTAAAATCAAATGTACAAACACATCCCACACTAGGCAGATCGATTCCACCATTTTTACAAGGATTCACCTTTTCTAAAACAACAAGGTTGATGTAGTTGACATATAAGTTTCCCAGATCGCAGTGTTTCAAACATTGATTTGAACAATTCGATTATGACGTTGTTACCATGCATCACATGCGATATATAGGTTTTTATTGGAGAGAAATGAAATAATTTATCAATAGTACTGACCTTCACAAGTAGGACCAGTATATTCATCTGTGCAAACACATCTTCCGCTAGGCTGTTCTGTTCCACCATTTTTACAGGGATTCGCTTAAAATAAAACCAGCGACACAATATTATAACTTAAAATATACATCATACATACACTGGACGTTATGCATCTAGTGATACAGATACATGCCTTCTGGACACGATACATCTATTGAAATAAGGATACATACATTCTCGACAATATACGTCTATTGAGGTAGTGACACATATCTTCTAGACAGTATACACCTGTTGAGATAGCGATATATCCTTCTAAACTTTATACGTCTAATGATACAGTGATGCATACCTTCTAGGACATAATGCATCTATTGCGATAGATACATGCCTTCTGGACATTATACTTTTATTGAGACGTAATATGAAGGAATAGCCTATGTGCCGTCACAGTGTGGCATTTGGCTTATAACTGGCCTTTCTGGGAAATATGTTGAGATACAGATACATACCTTCTTAACATTATATATCTATTGAGATGGTGATACATACCTTTCACATTTTACATCTAATGAGATAGTGATACATACCTTCTTCACATTTTACATCTAATGAGATAGTGATACATACCTTCTTCACATTTTACATCTAATGAGATAGTGATACATACCTTCTTCACATTTTACATCTAATGAGATAGTGATACATACCTTCTTCACATTTTACATCTAATGAGATAGTGATACATACCTTCTTCACATTTTACATCTATTGAAAAGAGAGAGATACCTACGTTCCAAACATTATACATATATTGATATTTCTAGAAATCATAATTCCAATAAGGTAGAGATACATACCTCTTGGACATAATGTTCCTTGTAAGGTAGAAAGAATATCATTACTCAGACATTTTCTAAGTGAGGGTTGATAATTGTATCTTGATCGACTGCCGTATCGGCTGCTGTATCTATAACTGCTAGAACTATTGAGCATAGCGATCAACACAAAAATCGACACCATCGAAACATAAACTTTGAAAGAACCCATTTTGTCAGATTTTCAATTGAATTGACACAAGATTGCCATGTAACAGTATTTATAGTTATTTAGTGTTGCACCTGTATAATAGTTATTAAAATTATTCATTTCCATTTTAACATTAACTTTTCGATCATGAATTTCAACAGAAAAAAGTAAATATGTTTTTGCGGTGAAAAACTTTTTTTTTTATTCACATGCACACACAGTTCATGATACTACATTTCGTATGGTGATATGGGGTAGGCTTACTGGTTTATTTTTATTATACGCCCACATGAATATGTGGTCGTATATTGTCGTCCGTCCGTCCGTCCACATTTCTTGTGAGCACTATAGAGACTACAGTTTTTATCTGATTTTGATAAAACTTGGTGTGATCTTTGAAATTCATAAGATCTCGGACAAGTTCTAACTTGACGCATTTTCGATGAACGGTTTTTGAGTTATTGCCCTTGACTTTGTTAAAACGCGTTGAAATTTGTTAAAAATAGTTCGTGAGCAGGATTGAAGCTACAGTTTTCAACCGATTCTGATGAAACTTGGTGTGATCATTGGAATTAATAAGATCTCGGACAAGTTCTAACAAGAGATATTTTTGATGAAATTTTTTGAGTTATTGCCCTTGACTTTGTAAACACGCGTCAAAAGTTTTTTTTTGCCCTTAATTAGAGCTGTGTGATTTAATTGTTTGTTGTATTTGGGTTATTGATATTGATTTTAAAAAATTTCTTCAATATGAGAAAATTCGTACTTTAGTCACTAAAGACTGTTTTATTATTTCTGACAGCTGCCAGTGGGCGTATGTTAACTTGCAACGCAGGCTATCTTGTGGAATTCTGTAGATGAATACAGGGGAAATCGGCGCCCATTGAGCTATTAGTATAGGATAAAACACTGCCGAGGATTTATATGATATTTCAAATCCATAATGCGAGGGATTTTCCGAGGTAAAGGGTTTCAAATAAATATATATATATATCCATAGAATGTTTAATCGGACTTATATATCGGCGAGGACCTATTTATTTTTTTTCTTGAATTTTATCTTTTTAATTTTGTTCAGTTCTATTTAATTAGCGACTGTAAATAGTTCAGTCAAAATGCCCCCAAAGAAGTGCAAAAACCGATGCAAAATCCGATGTCATGAATATTTGCAAAGACGACTCAAATGTTTGTCGTTAAAATATTTGAAGATTCAAATGGAGACCGACGAAAACTGATAACGACACGAAATTGTAAACTGCAATTTTAAAATTAGATGACACCGGTAAGTACCGTCGCAAGAAATGAGCATTTCTCCAGCCGTTATATTTTAACAAGTAGCAACTATATACTTAGTGCAGCTAGTTAGTTATTTTTTTTATTTGAAGGGGCGTTTCAGACCACGTGTTCGTTAGTAAACTGAGAAGTCCCCCCACCCCCCTCCCAGTCAAAATGGGCACTCTATGCCCCTGATCATATTCATTAGGATAGTGATGTGATATAAAATGTATATCTCAAAACTACCGAAAAGCTTCATAAGATTTCAAACCGAATTTACAGACTGAAAACCCGATACCCTACGTTGTCTAAAATTAATTCTATTCCTCAATTGTCAATGGAATTCAATTCTGTTTTTTTTATGTTAAAATAACATTATTAATAGGACAATATCTTCTAAACAATTACAACCAAACGGCAAAAAAATATTAATAGCTTGGAAGATATTTGTGATATCGTGACATCCATGATCGACCCTCCGAGGACTGGGGCCATCTTCCACGGCAGATAAAAGTAGTATCGGCATTGTGTGGCGCTCTGCTGAAAATACTGTGTTTTCGCTAATTTAAACTGACCAAAAGTGCGATTTTTATCCGAATCTAGCAGCTAAATGTTATGAACTATCACATCTATCGTGGACTGGTAAATATATTCTATAATTATTGTCACACGAGTAGAAAATCCAATTAGTCTGACCAGTGTTGATTGAAACTAAGGACGCCATATTGGTCACTCGGATTTACCTGTGTTTGTACAACACGTAATGGACAAATAATCATTTCAGTGAGGTGTGATTATCACCAGGACCCAACAATTATTGTTGTATACATTGTGAATTATGTGTTGTAATGTCAACGCCATCAAACAACACTAGAAAACGCATTCCCTCAATTTCCCCAATTCAAATGCAACGAGAAATACTGATAGCTGCAAATGTGAGTAAAGATGACATGATGAAGAGGGCTAATATTAAAGATGCGTTTTCAATGAAAACCAGTGCCACAACTTCTGATCTATGTGGAGGGAGTATTTCCGCCGCAGGAACCTTTAGCTACTATTCCATCGCCCATACCCATATCAGATTCGTCACTGCTATTACCAGACCCTTTGCTCCCCCCATCTGGAACCGAAACCAACCTTGCCTGCAACATGAGTTATGATGAAAGTGTGCTCATGGACACTGTAAGTGATATTGTAAGTGATATTGCGCTGAAAGTTGTCCAATCATTTACATTACCAGTCTGTGTTGAAAGGCCATGATTTGCGATGTGTTCAGTGACCAGATTGATAAGATCATCACACCCCTAAAGATGGAGATCTCCCACCTTAAAGGTTGAACTAGCAAGTGTCGTCACAATTTAACACTGATATGAAACTTAAAATAGATGAACTTAACGGTATTGATGAGGAAAAGGGTTAGGATGTTGAAATGGTGGCCCTCAGCGTTCTGATTTTACACGACATCACATTGAAAACTGTCACCGTGTAGGTACGATGCCAACAGAGAGGCAACATGTTACTATTAGGCCTAGACAAATCATCATACGCCTATCGAGTTAAAAACACAAAAGGGAACTCATGAGTGTCAAAGAACGAAACAAGAAGCTTCTAAAAATGTTTTCATTAATGAGGATTTGACACAATATAGGTCGTTCCTACTTAGCTTAGCCAGAAAATCAATGAAAGCTGAACATATACAACAGTGTTGGTCGAGGGACGGTAAGTTGTTTGTGCGAGAGTTTCATGTTCATATTGGCGGACAAGGTAAAATTACCCGAATTATCACACCATTAGACATAACAGAACATCAACCTACTGCAGAGGAACTAACAATTTATGGTGATATTGACAGATCTGTGCCTTAATAGGAATCAACAGGCACTTATAAATCAAACTATCCAATGAATATATTTTAATTGATATCCACTTGGTACACTGATTAAAATGTTTTGACCTAGTGAAAATCATGTGTTTCTTTGTCATACATATTAGTATTAACTAAAACAGATTATACTACAGTTATATATTTTAGTTGAAATACATTTGGTACACTGATTGAAAGGTTTGACATAAGTTATACATAAATATGACAAATATATGGATATATACTTCTGGAATATTTATTACTTCAACGTTTCAATGTGATTCTCACACCGTCATCAGGAATATAATGATACAAACGAGTAACTAGAAAATATATAGGCAACAATAATAACAACCACAATATAGAAAGCAAAGGTACAAGATATGAAGCCATACTGTGGATTAACTACTAATAAAATTAACAGGGGAAACAAATTTCTAAGCAGACATAGACCACCTGACTAATGTATTTAGTAGATGCAACCAGTACACACGCAGCCTAATAGCACATACTATTAAACAAGTTAACCTGCCCAATAAAACCACCAAACCAGACCAACCCCCCAATCAACATAACCATACCATTCATAATCCCCAAATCAGTAGGAAGATCACAAAACTAGCCAGTATCTCCACGAGATTCTCTACAACAGCCAGTCTGAAAACAGCTTTAAAAGTCAATGGTCGAACATATTCCAGTACCATCAACAAAGAAATGCAGAAAAACTTAGTATACCAAGTCAAATGCAATTGCGGAGCAAATTATATAGGTGAGAGTAGACAGCCGTTAAAAATGCGAATAAGACAACACAAGACCTCCTGTAATATGACAAATGGGAAATCAGCACTGAACCAGCACCTAATTGATAATCCAAGCCACATCATAGAATGGAATAAGTCAGAGGCCCTCCTTACCAACCTTCCAGATGAAGTTACCAGGAAATACCAGGCATCTTGATAAGGAAACTACAACATTCCCTCAACCGAGACCAAGGCTACCATCTACCAAAAATATGGGATACCATACTCCTTTAATCCTACCCTTTGATCTCCCCTGCTATCTGTATCATCTGGTTGGTTGGTAGATGACAAGTTAACGTTCGCTTCCAGCGGATGCTGATATCGCAAACTAGGTAGTTGTTGGTAGTCGTAGTAGTTGGTAGTTGGATTGGATCAAATTGGATGATTCGGTGTTGTTGGTTTGGTTGTTGATTCTTCGTTAGATCTGGTCGGGTCGAATGACATGGCGGTGAAACTCGGCCCTGGATGGTGTGGCGTGAGTTACTCGGTCTCCTCCATTCTTCCAAACTCGTTCTGATCATGGTATTTCTTGTTGATTGGTAGTCGAATGGTAGTCGTTGGTTTGGTTTGGTTTGGTTAGATTATCTGTTATCTGTTGGAATCTGTATCATCTTGATTGGCTTCCTTTACATACCCATCCAAATTAATTAGTTTCCCCTGTTAATTTTATAAGTAGTTAATCCACAGTGCGGCTTCATATCTTGTACCATTGTTTTCTATATTTAGTTGATATCCATCTAAAACACTGATTGAAATGTTGGACCTAGTAAAAACATGTGTTTCTAAGTAATACACATTATTATTAATTAAACAGATTATAGTTATACAATAGGTCAATGAACAGTCTAAAGTTGAGAAATTTTTCAGAATATCCTAGTACCGGAAGTGTATACCGGAAGTTGACGTCACAATTGAAAGTATCAGCAGATAGCCAAGGTCAATGACCTTTGATCTTGTAATGGAGAAGGTCTAAAAAAAAGGGCAAGATCACGAAATATGTCATCAAATTTTCAAATTGCATACGGCTATGAAACCGGAAATTGACATAGGAAAGCAAATATAAAGGGAAAAAATAGATAGCCAATG